TTATGTGCATCTTTGTCACTCTTTCTCCATTTCTCAGAAGATTCCTCTTTTCAGTTGATGATATTGAATAAATTTTCCTTTTTGCTGTTTATTATATATAATGGATTCCAAGTAAATCTGCTTTGGAAATCAAGCATTTTCTTTTTCTTTTTGTGTTATCGCAAACTTTTGTTCCTGTCTTCCTGCTGCTATCCTTTTCTTTTTTCTTATGTCTCATGTGGCTGTTTATTGGTGCCTCTGCTTCCTGTTTGCTTTTACATCTATTTCGTCATCCATGCCATTACTTATGGGCTGAATCAGTAGAAGAAAAAAAAAAAAGAAACTAGATTAATTGCTGGTAACCCTGAGAGAACCAGGTATTCCTTTGGCTATGACCTGCTTATAATTTGGCCATCAAAATTGGGATGGGACATTCAACTAGATCGAAGAAGGTACCTTCTCTCTAGTGAGTGCAGAAAAGGATTCATACCTTACCAGTCTGTTTGATGTGTATCATCATCAACTTGGCTTTCAACCCTAGTAATTTAATAAGCAGAGAGAGAGAGATACTTCTTTTTCGGTCCCTGCTTGCGTGCAATACTCAATCAATGGGACATTCTTCTTAGCTCATTTATAGTCATGGAGCGAGAATGCGATTCCTATTTTCTCTTTAGATAGTTGATTGCATTTTTTTAGGGAGTCCTTGTAGTAGTTGCTGGCTGCTTTATTTGAAAGAATAAGTTTCTTTGTTTTGTTTGTTCCTTTTATCCTTAAGGTCCAATGGTGTATCTGCAGTTTGATGATTCTTGAAGAAGAGTTGTGCAGCTTCTTGTTTGTGTTTCTTTTACTTCTGCTCTGATGTTTTTACTTTACATCTTTGCAGATGTCATGAGATAGAAAAGAACCGGGAAGAAAGGGAACGTCACCCTGTAAACCAGAAGGATAAACATACCCTTTATCCAGTAAGTTGTTTCTTCTAGCTTTAGTCCCAATAATCGGTACTTTAGATGTATATAATATAAAATAAAAGAAGGGACAGGGATTGCAATCAAGATTAAAAGCACTATATATGATAGCAATATAATAAACTTTCCCTGAAGAAACCATGGGCTTTAGCTCTAAGAGAACAGAAAATGACCCTTCTTTCCGTATTGTTATCAAACAATTGAGACCTTTGCGTAAGAGTTCTAGCACTTGTAACCAAACAAAGGTCGCGAAACAGATAAGAGGTGGAGATGAAGACCATCAAGATTATATCCTTCTTTTCATGTTTCTTGGGCATGTCCATCTTACTTTGATTTATAACTTACAGATTGCATCGTTGAACCCTGCAGGTGGAAATTACTGATGTTCCTGCTGATACTAAAGATAAAGATGAGATTCTTGAGAGTGAATTCTTTGATACTAGGCAGGCATTCCTCAGTCTTTGTCAAGGGAATCATTATCAGTATGATACATTAAGGCGGGCTAAGCATTCTTCAATGATGGTCCTTTATCACCTTCACAATCCAACTGCTCCTGCCTTTGTGACAACATGCAACATATGTCATCTGGACATTGAAACTGGTCAAGGTTGGCGATGTGAAGTTTGCCCTGATTATGATGTATGCAATAATTGTTATCAGAATGATGGAGGTGTTGATCATCCACATAAGTTAACAAACCATCCATCCGTGGCTGAACGTGATGCACAGAATAAAGAAGCTAGGCAACTACGGGTTTTGCAGGTAGCCTTTGTACTTATTTGTTTGCAGTTAGTGTGTTTCCATCGTTTGGGCTCTTTTATCGCTTTCATTTCTATGTAACTGAAATTTCAGTCTGATGTAACTAAGGTTCTAGTCCATTGGTTATTTCTTGCTCAGGGGAGAGCTGGGCTCTACTCTTATTACCAAAGTTTATGTCGCATTCACTGTACATCCTGTATAACAATCTGAAAAATAAGCATAGAATTGTGGTCAAAACAAAGCTCTCAAACAGAAAGGTAGTAAATATTTATGACCTCTGTCTGTGCCTGAAGTCCAACTAGAATTTTGGAATTGGACGTAGATACATGCTTTCTAAACAGGATATCTTTTGCCTGTTGCACATCTGCCTCCTTTTGCATCAATATTGCAATATCTTAAAGAATGGAATAGAAGAGGAAAATGGTTCTAAAAGTTCTGAGTTGGAAACTAAAGCACATGTTGATATACCTGTGGTGTGCTATCTTGCTCTTTTGATGGAATAAGTGAACTATATGGGTCTAGTTATATGCGGGGATTCTTGCCTTCCCAAAGTGAAATGCTGTTGCATTTACCTTCAATGTGACTGAAATGTGCTATCTCTATATATTCTGTGGTTTTCAAGATCGTCAATTTTTTTGGGATACTAGTGAATAAGCCATGTGGCTTTTACCTTGAAGAAAAGCATGTGAAAATAAGAGTATACATATGTTAAGGTTGTCGGCTATACTGAAGTGATTTTTTAAGATGCTGTCTTTCTCTGAATACTGCTGCTTGATCTGACATTTACTGATGTGAGTTGGGAGATTTATATTTATTCTCATTTTTGAGTTCATTGAACGATAAGTTTGAATGATTCTGCCTTCCTTTTTCAGACTGGAATTGGGATTCTGAATTCCACTATGCTTTGCATGTTCCTCTAGAAGACTAACGAAATTGGTTATCTTGACATTGCAGCTTAGGAAAATGCTTGATCTACTGGTGCATGCATCACAATGCCGTTCTCCACACTGTCAATATCCAAATTGCCGTAAGGTGAAGGGGCTTTTCCGACATGGTATACAATGTAAAATACGTGCTTCTGGAGGTTGTCTCCTCTGCAAGAAGATGTGGTATCTCCTACAACTTCATGCTCGAGCGTGCAAAGAATCTGAATGCCATGTGCCACGTTGCAGGTAAGTTATAAATCTCTGTGGTAACATCCCTTGTTAAATTCAAGGCAATATATCTGCAGGTTATTTATAAATTTGGTGTCATATTCAGAGATCTGAAGGAGCACTTGAGGAGATTGCAGCAGCAATCCGATTCACGGCGTAGGGCTGCAGTGATGGAGATGATGAGACAGAGAGCTGCAGAGGTTGCTGGAAATTCTGGATGACTAAGTTGTAAATA